AAAGCAGGTAGATGTAGTATATAAGAAAAGGGAAGAAATAAGTAAAGTGTTAGAATTACTGGAAATGAGAATGCAAAGTTTTACAGTATTAATAGGAGAGTCAAAAGATAATATAAAAAAAATATAGATTATACTATTAATATGGGGAGGCTAAGAATATTTATAGATCAAGCAGGATTTATAGGAAAGGAAAAAGAAATAAAAAAAGCATGAAGAAGTTGATATTTTAAATAGTGATTATGTTAAATATAATAAGTAATGTAGCTAGGATAGTAAAAATAATAAGAATAGTAAAAACAATAATAAATAAGAAAAAGGAGCACAAAATGAAAGTAACAGGAACAGTCAAGTGGTTTAACCCTGAAAAAGGTTATGGTTTTGTTAAACAAGAAAATGGTAAAGATGTATTTGTACATATATCTGCAGTAAAAGAAGCAGGACTAGATACCTTAGATGAAAAGCAAAAGATAGAATTTGAGATAGAAACAAATCAAGGAAGAACATCGGTAGCTAATATAAAAACATTATAAGGCTATGTATTCATAATAAACTAAATTATAATATGGCTAAATTTATTAAAGATTATTTATTATTTACTCTAAAATCAATAACGATTATTTTGTTATTTTTTGGCATAAGTTTTATTTTTGCGATCATAGGAAATAAGGAAAATAAAAATAAAGACATGGGTTCACTAACGGTAAAGAATCTTACAAATCATTATTATGATGTTAAAGCTGGAATGATTAATAATATTTATCCTAAGGCTGAAGCAGAAAAATTAATACATAACCTTAATAAAAAAGAAGAAAATAAAAGTAGTAAAACTTATCTACTAAAGTTTAATGGAGATATTCAAGCTAAAGAAGTTGATTCATTAAAAAAAGAAATTACTGCTATTTTATCAGTAGCTAATAATGGAGATAATGTAGTTTTAATGTTAGAATCACCAGGTGGCACAGTTAATGGATATGGATTAGCAACATCTGAACTTGAGAGATTAACTGCAAGAGGTCTACATTTAACAGTGTTAGTAGATAGGGTTGCAGCAAGTGGTGGATATATGATGGCTGTTGTAGCTGATAGAATTATTGCTGCACCTTTTGCAATAGTAGGTTCTATTGGAGTATTAACTGAAATTCCAAATTTTAATGAATTAATGGAGAAAAATGGGATCAAATATGAACAAATAACTTCTGGTAAGTATAAAAGAGCAATGAGTGTGCTCGGTAAAAATACTGAAGAAGGACGAAAAA